GAAAATCAACCCATTCACAAACCCATACAATAAAACAAAACAAAAAAACATTCAACTATATTTTGTCATTCACTCAATGACAAGATGACAGTAAATTCAGAAATGAAGAATGCACTGAAAAAAACTGAATGCATTTAATAAAAAAAGAAATACAAAAATTTATTAAATTGCATTTTGTCATACATTCATTAATTTATATTATTTTGGTAAAGTCAGAAATGTAAATGCAGAATACTTTGCGGGGGAAAAAGGAAGAAGAAAGGTTACTTTTTTATTCAAATTCAATTTAAAAATTAACAAATTTGATTTTCTCATTCATTCATTAATTGAGAATATTTGACAAAAGTCAGAAAAAAGTTATTTAAATCAAATAAAGTTACTTCTTTATTTCAATTAAATTAAAAAAAATGTCATACAGTATTTCACGTTTCCATTTTTAAAAACATTAGACTGCCCATATAAAATCAATCAAACCAAATGTGTGAAGGATAATAGGTTGCCGTGTGCAGTGCTTGATTCATGGCTGGTGATGTGACTGACAGTAGTGTGTGTGTGTGTGTGTGTTTGTGTGAAACAGATGTCTTCCTCTAGCGATCAGGGCTCTGGCAGCACCTGCTGTAGCAGTCCAGAGTGGAGCAGTGCGTCTGAGCACTGCGCCCCCGTCTACAGCTCCACCCACGAGGGTAAGACTACCACATCTACACTAACAAGCCTGACATTCGAAAACTTCCATTAAGCCACATAAAAAGTGAGGTCTGAAGGACTTGCCAGGCAAACATTTGACAGAGTTCTCTAATTTCCTCAGATCTCCTGAATGACGACTCCTCAGAGCAAACCAACCTGAGATCTCTGACGTCTATTGTGGACAGCATTACAGGAACAGAGGTGACTCCGGTCCCCTATTCAGTGGACATAAGCAAATAAATGAGGAGGGTGACGCCACCGTTATGTTCAGACCACCTTTCACTGACCATTACAGCACTATCTGTAACACCCAAGGTGAATGAAGTAGCTTTTAAAAGTCATAAAAGCCTCGGGGGCTTAATTTCCAGACAAATCTTGAGGTCCATATGATTATATTTCCAAATGTTTCTTATCTCTGTGGGAATAAGAACGAATTTCAGATCAGCCTAATTCCTGCTTAAACTTCAGACAGGCCGATTCATAAGTTCATAGTTTGTCCTTTTCCCCTCTTGATTCCTATTTTTTCATTCTGTTTGTGTGTGCTTTATGCTTACCAACAACAACAACAAAAAAAAAAAACATTTGTGGGTCCAATGTTTTACTTCTGGTTTTGACCAATTTCTGCTTAATTTAAACTAGCTCTAAATGCCAGTCATGTAAATATGTTCCTATTTTCTACAGAGTGGTTTTGTTGTTTTATTTTGTATTTTTCGGTGTGTATGGAATAATTTATTTGACTTTTATAATAAAGATTGTTGTGTATTTGTATATATTCATTTTCTTTGCCCTTTAAATAACTTTTTTTTGTTTTACTGATTTGATCATCTAATTTATTGTTTTGTTGCAAAGTATTTTCCCAGCAATCTCTAAAATATGGATTTGGCTTTAGACTTGTGTGCAAGAAAGCACCAAATACACAAATAAAAATCCATGAAAGGGTTTATAATACATAATGTAAATATTTATTTTATATATTCATATATAATTATTTATTTGTGACAGCTTTTTACATTTAAAGTGAAAAAAAAAGAAAAAACCTCAACAGCAGCTGAGCGGTACTAAACAAACATCACATTCAAAGAAAAATCTCACTTGTTCAACCACATGCTTTATGTGGAATCTGCATCTACTCTATACAGAATTATATACATAAATCAGCTATTTACACACACACATTAAACCTTACATGCACACAAAAGAGAAAGAGCTTGTGAGGGGGCTAGAGAGAGAAAGAGAGAGAGACCTGCACCTGTTTTACAGTTCACATTACTGTCAAGAGCTACAGAAACAAATTAGTGTAAAAATGACCATCACAGAAGAACACGCTGCAAAGCAAGAGGCTTCAGTTACTCCACCACCGTCGCATCAGGGAAACGCTTGGTCCTCGTCAAGCCACTATAAGATCAAATAGATATTCAGCGAGCACGCCGAACATTAAAAACGAAGCAGAACCAACTAAACTGGCTGTGAAAGGCTAGGCACAATTGGCAGATCGAGGCTTAAAAAAGAGCAGCACACCACAGGATTTCAAGTTCAAGTGTTTGACTGGTGATATATTCCTTCAGATCTGTGGTAATGATGATTGAGAGCGAGAAAGAGAGGCAAAAGATGCTACAGTGATTGTCACGTTTAGTGGCATGCATGCTCCACCAGACGCCCCAATGCCAAAAGTGACCCACACAGCACAAACAAGGCTTGATCATCAATCATTCATTTAATAGGATAGAATTATTTTAAGAATGACAATGATTTTTTTTGTGTATAAAATGAAAAAACAGTCACTTATATTAATACTTCTTCTTTTTTTTTTTTTAATAGAGAGCACTTTTTAAAGAACATGATTTGTCAGCATTGTGTAACACTTATGATACACACACATTTCCACACAGTACAGTAGCTGCCACAATAGCACGATACATCCTGTGAATTACAGAAAATACTGTCTTAAAAAAAAAAAAAGAAAAAAAAAGAAATGCCCAACAGACTGACACGCGCTCTTTACCGGTTTGGTAGGTAGGTTGATCGAGAATCATTTGTTCCCGTTGTGATGCTGAATTTCAAGTGGCGAAGATCACGTTTGTTCGCAGGTCCTACTTTTTTTTTTTTTTCTCTCCTGATGCTAAGTGAACTGAAGTCTATTGCTTTCCCTGATGCTCGACAATATTTAGCATCATGGCTTTATACGATCTCGGAGTGCTGGAAGTGTATTACGTGGATAAGCACTGCTGATGTGAACACAAACGCACGTTTCTCCAGTCACCACTGGTGTAAGACACCGACTATACAACACCGTCCTAGCAGACGGAGCTGTCTAACCGTCAGGAAACAGTCACAACTGAGACTTTAAAATTCATATGATATATTCATCTCCATATACAAGTCTGATATATAGTTCCATAAAAAACATAATAGCATAATTTTCTGGTTTTCATATATACAGAGACGTTGATTAATATTTTGCATAACCAAAGGGGAGAAAGCCTTATATAGTAAAATGCCAATGGCACACCCAAAGGAGCAGACTATAGCACTGACAGACTACAGGGCCAAGTACACCAGTTAAGTACGACCACCACAAAGACTATAGAACCGGGATTACTGGGAAACGACTGATAGGACGAGGTTTCTCTGCTATGCGTTCTACGCGTTCAGAGTTCGAAATTCACCTTTCTGGCTCCCTCTATTGCACGGTGTCCAAGAAAGCTCTGGTGTTGTTGAGGACAGGGGAGGGGTGGAGGTTAACCCTTCCCTCATCCTTTCAAGGTGTCCCCAGATTTTGGCATATTTCATTCTCGAAAGGCCGCAAGCATGTGTCCGTACAGGTAGTGGGAATGCACTAGCAGGAAAATGAGAGGATAACAGAAGCAAAATCATATATCTTTAAAAAAAAAAAAGTATATTCAAGGTTCGATACAAGTTAATGTAACACATGTCAGTCGATAAAAAAGCAGTCAGGACAGTGTAAACACAAGCTGTCTGCTACTTCTTTACCTCATGTCATGTGTCTGTTGATGTACTGGCAACACCTACAAATCATCATGTTGTTTTATGGAGGAATTCATGCTTTAATAAAATGATGAGCTTAATATTCAGCCTTTAAACTGTCTAGATGCTGGTATTTATGTCTGGTGTAATGAGCCATACACACAGAATGCATTTTTGCCTTTAAAAATGCCACACGGAGGGCAGTCGAATTAAAAAACACAAGTGTTTTTTTTTCTTAAAGTTGGGCTTCTTTAAACGTTTTAGAGTGCCATTTTATGCGCAAAACACTGCAAAAGATGCAAGAGCTCAATGCAAATATGCCCATGTAGCGCATGTGTACATGTGAAATGTCGGGCAGTGGATTAAAAAAAAAAAGTCAATCTTCTAGAATGCTGCAAGAGACACAACAGATCTAACACGTTTACACAGAAAAACAACTGAGAAGCAGAACGCCTGTGTGAACAACTTATAAGTGTGTTTCAGACAGAATGTGTTTTTGCACCAAAACACAGGGCAGTAGAATGAAAAAAGAAAAGAAAAAGCTCTACAGATGCGTTTTTAAAAGTTGAATTTCTTTTAACTTGAGCACTGTTTTTAGAATGCTGTGTCATGCAGAAGATGCAATTGCAACTGTCAAACATGCTCGCTTAGAGCATGTTTACATAAAAAAAAATGGAGAAGCACCGAAGTGTAATGAAAAAATGCTTACTGTGTGAATGGCCCATTTGTGTAACTGCAATTTCTACTTTAGTTAATAGTTCTTTGTGTTAACCAACATTATGCTACAAATTCTAATGATTGCGCTTAACTTGTACCAAACCCAGAAGAACACTGACATAATTATAAAATGTGACATTTAAATATCTCATAATTACACAAACAAAATATATAATTGAATAAATGATGTAAAGAGAAAAACGGTCATGAGCTCACGTTCATATAATCCATGAGACTGAATAAATATACATGAAAGGACACTGAAAATTGAAATAAAATAATGGAGTGCAATAATGCAATCAGTTACTATACAGTTGCTGCATGTTCTGATTGGTTACTAGCTGGTTCCTAGTGGATTATATGAACTTTCATTCAATTCTACTTAAGTTTTACACAAAAGAAAACAGACCATTCATGTACTAAGCGAAAAGTAACCAAGAAATGAATCTGAACATCATTAAACATCTCTATCTGAGCAGAGAGGCTGCAGTGACCAGCTTACCTGTTAGTATACAGGACTTTGGAAAGACCAGCCGTATGCTGAACCACTAAATCAACTGAGTCAGTTTTCTATGCTAGAACAGAATGGACCAGCTAGTGTCTTTAAACTGCTATTAAACATCATCAGGTGTGTTCCTCACCTGAGTGTTCTGCATGGGGATCTGTAGAATGAGGGCCAAGCTGCTGAAGTCAAACGTCTCATCTAGGGCAATGAGAGCTCCATGCACACTGCTTTCCAGCAGGTTATTACTGTACTCTTTCAGACCGATGTTCTGAACCCACTGCATCACATGATCATTGGTCCACACCAGGGTATCTGGGAGCGATAACAATACATGCATTTGCTATTACCTCTGCTAGACACAAAATGGTTCATTGGTTTCATATTAAACTGACTCAAATGACTTCCATTATAAAGCCATATCAGAAGATACAGAATAGTGTGAATATCAAATCAAAGGATATGAATGAATTAAATAACTGCATAATTTGATGAACTGCCTGCTTCGAAGCGAAGCGTGGCACTGTATTCTGCAGCTGAGCTTCTTGGTTCACAGTAAATGCTGCAAACTTCATCTCTGCATGTGCTGCAAGTTTAACATGCATTTGTGAATGCAACGTGCACTATGCTCACTTTATTTACACATTTGCATCATTTTTAACATTTTTGGTTGGCAGAAGTTTAGAGATACACGGATAAAATAAGTAAATATAAACAAAAACAAAACGGATTTGAAATATTTGAAGTTTTCAATGTTTGAAAGTCAAGATTATTATTGTAAATTGTAGTGTACAATAAAATCATTAAAACATTTTATTTTACAGTACAATTGCAATTTACAACAGCAAAATATTTCTATCTACAATTTTGTAAATCACAGTTATAACCTCATAATAATAATAATAATAATTGAATGTGGGCTGCAACACTTCACAATTTAACTTGCATGTCATGTGATCATTAACCAACATCAGAGAACCATGAATGTGAATGTGTCATTAAATTATTGAAATATTACCTTAAAATCGCAGGTGATATTTCAATGAAATATTTGTCCAGGGGTTTGGCCGACATAAAGTTATATATTTTAAATGATAAAACACAAACAACTATTGAAACAACATGTGTATTGTGATATACAGTTTCCGTGATATATTGTGGTATAAGACTGAACAGACCACCTCTAACCCATGCAGTAAACATTAATGAAGCGAATCTTCGAAGGGGGTCTGTGTTTATAACAGTTCTGGAAATATCTGTGTTTCGGTAACAGTATATGTGGAGCATGATCATTTTGCACAGCTGGCTAGCCTGCTTTCTGTTTGTACAATCCTGTGCGTAATGTGCTTAAGTGTGTGTGTCTTAAGCAGTTGGTGCGTGTGTCTTTAGTGACGAAGATGAAAGATTTAAAAAAGCTGTGACAGCTGTGTCAAGTTCATGTGTTATGCTGAAGTTCAGCCGGGCGCCGTCCCTTTAAATGAATTTGACACTAAAAAGCTCAGCTGTTGACCTCACACATTCCTGCAACCAAAATGCAGATAACAGTTACGGCCACTAGATAGTGCTCTTCCCTTCATAACTTAGAAGTAATGAATCCAGAGAGTGCATTGTTAATTTATTCATACCTTTGATGTCATGTTGAAAATCCTCTCTTCTTCTCTCCAGATCCTTCCTGTCATAGTTCAGCCTTTTTAAGCACATGATGCCATAGTGCAAACTAGCCCTGTAAGGATATAATGCATATACCATTCCATACAAAGTCTGGTTATTAGAATGAGTAGTTATTAAAAATGAGCAGTCAATCCAAATGTTTACCGGTGGAAGCTGTCCACCATCTTGAGATGTGTCCGCAGGTCTTTCTTAGTAAGGTGGTCCAGCATACGAGCGTCCACCAAGCACTCCATGAAGTAGCTGCGGTACTGAGGCAGGCCGAGACTGGGCAGCCACTCGTTCCCAATCCACTCATGGTTCATGTCACCATATGCTAGCGTCTGAGAAAGAAAAAAGATATTATTTCACTGTGCCTCTGTCAACTGGATCTTACATGGGCTTAGTTTAGTCATTTTATTTAGATCCTACACAGAGATCCATAAATGTAAAAAAAAATGAAAAAGAAAAGAATAAAATATGTTTACATTAACACACACACACATACACACACCAACATTTATCCGGCATTAAAAAAAAAAAGATATTGTATAATTATTTCATTATGTATTAAATAAAAATATATTTTAAATAATATATATAAGACTGTAAAAGTAGACCTAATACTGCAGTGAGCACTGGGACAAATCTGACTGCAGACCTGGAAACACAAAAAGTTTTAGGGTTATCGGTTGATGAAATAAAAAACATTAATTTCATGATATGGTGATGATATTAATTACATCAATATTTGCTGAGAAAAGCCCCTAAATGGAGATAATTCAATGACATTACATTACTGTGTTAGATGAGTAAATCGCTGAATAGACATGATAAAAACTGACTTGAGAAGTCAAAATATGCTTGTACATATTACTTGCCATATTATATAAAAATTATAATAATTATTAACATATTAATAATTTATGTTAATCATGTATATATATATATATACATATATATATATATATATATTAAAACAAATTAAAACCATATTCTAAGAATATAATAATATAAAAGTGCATTTTGGCCCATAAAAATACTTTTTATTTTTAAATAAAACTAACAAAGTTCTCATTGTATTCCTTACATATAGTTGCAATTTTTTACTTGAAACTCCGTATGAAAATCTGTCAATTCTTTCCTACTCCATAAATATACCAAGCTACTGACAGACTTTTAAAATGGAAAGTGAAGACCACATAAAAGAGGTCACTGGAAGGCTCTCGGTTGCTCTCTCACCTGAGCCCAGCTTCCTTCCTCATTCTCCTGTCAGTCAAAGGTCAGAATGCCAGCGTGTTAGAGCACAGAGGAGAGTGTTAACAATGCTCTCTTCCAGCTAAATAAGTTCAGTCCAGTCAGAGTAGATGAAGTGCACACCAAGCAGCTGTGGTTGTTACTAGGTTACTGCAAATGCAGTTAAATATGGAATAATTTTGCAAAGCGACAGGACAGCAATCACACAGAAACATGCAAAAGGTTTAATAAGCGCACTCTTTGGGTAGTTTGCAGGGCAGAGGGAGATGGGGGTGGATTCAGGGGCAGCAGGCTGGGGGTTGTGAGGGCTGCGGAAGCGTGGCATATGCATGGCACCGCGGGCACAAAGGAGTCACCCAGATGGACTAACCATTTTGGTCGAGGATGCCATGTTTTCCATCTCCTCATGAGTCACCCACACATTTCCGGAAGACTGAACAGAGAAAAACAGACACACAGACACACACAGATAAATGATCACACATGGCATAGTCCTCAAATCCACCTTTACAGCAAAGTCCCTTTAAGGCAAGTCTGTACAGTTGGCAGTCATGTTACTAACACCCCCGGCAATTATTTTCTACGCATGCAGTAGGTGTACAGATGCCTATTTTAATCTAAACTGGACCAAAATCACTAATAATTTATTTGGGTTTAAATAAAACAAATTTTATAAATATCATTTGACATAAATGTTTTTCTCTAGTACACATTGGACACAATTAACGGCACCCTTTTAGTCAATGCTTTTTGAAACCTCCCATCAAAATGATTAACAATGCAGATTTATTTTCACAGCCTTCTTTGATCATATTTACCAAGGGTGCCAATAATTCTGACCACGACTGTATGAGCAGTTTACAGACAGGCTCTTACTGTGCGTGAGGTGAGAGGAGCTGACGGACTCGTCAGTGACACCATTTCTTGAATGGCCAGCCTCAGCTTCAACCGATGCAGCGGGTTACTGATGCCGATCTCTCGCTGAATCTCTGTGTCCGACAGTGCCGACATGATGGCGCCGCTCTTCACGTTGGCACGACACGCTGCCACGTACCAAGCTGGCATGCCCACCCACAGCTGGAGGATGTCAGAGAGAAGTCCATCAAGATGCATCTTGGTTATCTCCATCATCATCAGAGCGAGTAAGTAATTATCGTAATTATTGTCATCCGTATCCCACCCCACTATGATTTGTGTGATTATAACCATGGAGATCATGAGTGCTGTGCTCATTACTGCTCTGTGGGAGGGATGGTGGCTGATATCTTTGTACCTCGAGCCAGGAGACCACAGTTGGGCCGTCCCACTGAGCAAAAGGAAGCCCTTTCCTCCTAGCATCCTCCAGCAGCTCATGTCTGATAGAAGACAAAGAAAGGTCAGAGCTTAGAGGAAACACAACCCTAGAGACGTCAAACTCACATCAGTCTGAACATATGAAGTACACAGTGTAGTGGTTAAACGATATGGGGATTTAAACAGCAATGTTAATTTTATTCTGGCTAATATACATGCCCACTCAAAAGTCTGGGGTTACAATTTACTTATGTTTTTAATGTTATTGTTATTTTTTGTTCAGCATGAAAGTGGACCTAAGCCCTGATATGTAATAATATGTAATAATATGTAATAATATAATATAATATAATATTATATTATATTATATAATACATTACTATTTAAAACTGGGGTTACAATTTACTTATGTTTTTAATGTTATTGTTATTTTTTGTTCAGCATGAAAGTGGACCTAAGCCCTGATATGTAATAATATAATATAATATAATATAATATAATATAATATAATATTATATTATACATTACTATTTAAAAGTTTGAGCTATAAGATTTAATAGGCTCACCAAGGTTGCATTTATTTGATAAAAAATATAGTAATAACATAAAAAATGTATACAATTTAAAACTGTTTTCTGTTTTAATCTATTCTAAAATGTAATTTATTCCGTTCCTATTATTTTAAATATGAACTTATCTGAATCAGATTTTCATTCTATTAGAGAACAGCACTAGGCTATTCTTTAAACATCATTTATTTCATTAGCATGCAAAGGCTATCCAATTTCTTTTTCTCATCTAACACCCAAACAAGAAGCACATTTTATTCTTAGCACAGTGCCAAAGAATGGACACACACACACACACACACAAACTTATCCACATGGCAGGTGCTGATTAGGAAACCTATTTTTTCTGTCACGCTAATGGTCAGGGGACAGAGATAAGATGTGGAGATGAGGATAGCCTCTACGAGATGGTAAAGTACACTCAAATGAGGCCATGTTATTAGTCTACTATTAAGCGTTATTTGTAACTTGTTTATCTGCAGGAAATGGCACTTTGCCATCCAATTGATTGGTCATTTGCTTTAATTGAGCTGTGTAATTAGGTAATTAGGATTAGGTCAGATTAGTGAATGTCTCAGGGTGATTTGATGGGCGTCAGGGCAAAGGAGCTGTGTGAGTGAGATATAAAGTAGAGAAGACCTACTTTTTCTTCATCCTGCGGTCTCGCTCTGCCTGTGTGCCCAGTTTGCTCAAGGTCATGGTATCTCCAATGCCCATCTCGAAATCTGAAGTGTAACAACATATTAAAATACATTTTAATATTTCATTTACTTTTTTAAGACAAATAAACCAAATACTTTTGGATTACAAGTAAGACTTTTCTTATACCAGACTTTTTATGGCCTTAAATTTGATAAAACTGAATTTAAGGCTTTTTAAGTGATACTCTGCAGTAGTAATAAAAACATGACATGTCCTGCATGTAATGTATGCGTTTTTGTTTCATGCTACCTGGAATGGCAGGTGGTGTCATCTGGCCATCCTTGCTCAAAGGCTGATCTAAACGCGATTTCTCCTTCTTGCCAAAGAGACGGCCGATAGATGACTTTATGCCCTTCTTTTTGTTGCCCCTAAGCAGAGAGAGAAAGAGAAACTGAGGAAAAAGAGAGGCACTGTGTGACTTACAGTAAAGCATTTAAAGGGATAGTCCACCCAGAAATGAACACTCCGTCAACATTTACTCGCTCTCATGACATTCCAAACCTGTATGACTTTCTCTCTTCTGTGGAAGAATGTTTGTTGCCAAACAGTTTTGGTTCCCACTGACTTCCATCATATGGGCAAAAAATTCAATGGAAGTCATTGAGAACCAAAACGGTTTGCTTACCAACATTCTTCAAAATATCTTCTTTTGCGTTCCACAAAAAAAAACAGTTACAGATTTGGATTGACATGAGAGTGAGTAAATGATAACAGAATTTTCATTTTTGGGTGGACTAGCCCTTTAAGGGATGTTCACAACGACAGAAATCTGTAGTGAAAAAGCAACTGGAAGTCATTCATTTTTAATAATTTCTGGTGGCATTAGAAACTATTATCAATAGCAAAACTAAGTTGAGCAGAGTTTAACCTAATGCAAATGAGAAGTGCAGCAATGTGGAGGCAGAAACGGCAGTCGAATAGAAACAGTAACAGTGGCAAGGATTTTTGCCCTTAATAACCCAGGGTGAAGGGAAAATGCTTTAAAAACAGTGAGACCTGACACAAAAGATAAAGACATTTATCTGAAGTATGTGTATATAAGACAGAACACAAAAACCTGTCCTGTGTGAACAACACCTCACACTATATAACATGCAGGATCACTTCTGTTTGCAATCTTTTAATCAGGCTAACTGCCTGCCCTGCTGAGAAATGCTTAGTTATTCCTGCACTCTTATTTGGATCTATCGAAGCCAATTACATCGTAATGAAATCACTCCTCCCCTGACATCACCATAAATTTGTGTGAAACATTAAATCGTGATAGAGCTAGGCGGCTCTGAGATGCAGTATAACTCCCCAGCAGTGATGTCGGAGTAGGAAGGACAGAGAGAGACTGAAAAAATGCACATCAGGAGTGATTTCTTGCTTTGGTTCAAATTAATGTGTATTAGTCTGAGTGTGCAGGACACCTGCTGAAAGTCTTATTTGAATTAAATTAGTCAGACTACAAAAGTGTGATTTGTATTCGACAATACCCATGGTAGTTCATCATTAAATTTAGCCGCATAAAAACATCCCACCAGCTAAATCCTCACAGAGCTTAAACAGTAGATGATGCTCTAGAGAAAACATCTGGAGCAACATAATTAAAAACACAGCATGATAGCTAAATATGATGCTGCCCACCAGAAAATCATCTAGAAATTCTATGTATAAGTCTATAGTGATTTTATTTTTTATGATTTTATTTAGCATTAAAAGTGGTCCTAGAATCCTGAAATAACATATGATAAACGATATACATGATATTCTAAACAAGATATTATCTTATAAATATTATTGTCTCTATAAAGTATTCAATTATTTAATGTTCAAAAGTTTAGTGTCAGTACATTTTTTATGCTTTTGATGCAAGTTTCCTATGCAAATTAAGGCTAGGTTTATTTGATTAAACAAACAGAAAAAGTTATATTTTAATATATTTTAAAATGTAATTTATTCCCATGATGCCAAAGCGGAATCATTTTGATTAGGTACTCAAGAAACATTTCTTATTTCTTCTTATTATTAATGTTGAAAACAGTTGTGCTGCTTAATATTTTTGTGATACATTTGTTCAGGATTATTTGTCGAATAGAAAATTCAAAACAGCAGCATTTTTGGAAAAGCTCTATGGAAAACAGCATCTTTGACATTTTGTTCCACTATAAAAATATAGTTTAAGTTTAAAAAGAAAGCAGGTAAATTATGACAAAAATTTTATTTTAAAGCAAATGATCTGCAGAAGGTAACTGAAGAAATTAAATTAATACATGTGATTTTTTTAACCTACAATAATCAGCTTATTTTCAAAGATTTAAGTTATCTACTTGGCTCACAAATCTTATTGCGCATGACACACCTGGAGGTGTACTACAGAACAAATGTGGGTCGCACATGACTTAAACAAAGGCAAGCTGACAGTAATTAACTAGTTTATAAACCCATAGTCTCAAGAGCAGTTGAGTGTTTGTGAAAGCATCTCTGCCTATGACAAACTCTCATCTGTCCTCAATTATGCCTGCTAGGAAAATTATGTCTCATCCAGTTCAATCAGAGAAGGATCTATTAACACCTGAGACGTGATCATCTGTGGATTTGTGTGTGCGTTTACCCTCGGCCATCCTCAAGGCTTCCTGTTAGCTGAGCGAAGTTCATTTGGTCTAGTCTGAGACTGCGGGGGGAGGAAGGGGGCGACGTCTCACACTTGATGGTGGCCTTGTCTTCTCGGGCCTCCACAGGAGACTGGGACAAAAACACACAAACAAAATCATCACAATATCGCCTCTCGCAAAAAAAACGAATGACATTTCCCACACACGCTGAACACAAATCATTAAAACGTAGTCACCTATAAATAAACAAACACATATACACACATTCACAACCTCATCTATCTAATGCACACACACTTCATTAGCACAAGCAATCCAGTCTTCAGTTTAGTCATTTAGAGATGAAGACACACTTACAGCCACTCGTCTGCGATGTTTCCTTAAATCACTAGGCTGAAGTGTTAGCAGGAAGAAAGAGACAAAGGAAGATGCAAGGTGACAGATGATTAAGTGTTAGAAAAGGGCGATTTAACGGCGTTAACACAAAATAAAAGCATTGTAATGTGAAGCAAGGATCACCAGGGTCATGATGCCCAACTCGTGGGCTGCTGAACCGGACGTCAGTTTAGGTGTGGATCTGCCGCTAACGGGGGGTGATGAACTGGCCAGAGAGAGGGCGGTGACGGAGGTGGGGATGGAGGAGCGTGGCCGCAGTGTCACGTTCAGGCCATCCATGCTGCCGCTGTTTACTCGACTCTCGATCTCATCCGCCCGGAGCTCTGCTGATTCCCTCTCTACCTGGATCATTCTGGAACAGAAGGAGAAAGACATTTAGCACCTAGATGGAGAAAATTCTAACATAAAACAGATACAAAAATCCCCAAACTGTACTCTCTGCAGAATACACTTCAAACCAAAGCCAAACTCAAATCAGAAGAGACACACTTTTCCAACCTTTTTTGTCTTTTTTAAATCTATTTAATGATCTATTTGATCTATTTAATGTTGGCTACCCATTTATCCATATTTATAGTTATACTTTTTAATAATATAATGCATTAAAACCTATGAAACACTCAATTTTATGCCTTATCTTACATCATCTAATAAATTATAAGTGCATAACGTGTAGCCAAGAATGGCTGTGTACAGGAGCGCACATAGATTTTTCAGTCTGGTTCTCATGAGAGCACCTGGAGATTTGATTTGCTGCTCACACTGCACCTAATGGCATTAAAACCTATGAAACACTCAATTTTATGCCTTATCTTACATCATCTAATAAATTATAAGTGCATAACGTGTAGCCAAGAATGGCTGTGTACAGGAGCGCACATAGATTTTTCAGTCTGGTTCTCATGAGAGCACCTGGAGATTTGATTTGCTGCTCACACTGCACCTAATGTGACCCATTAAATATATCTATAAAAAAAAAAAAAAAAACTAATAATAGTAATTATAGTGTTATTGCACTTTTAAATGCACAAATGCAGTGTGATAATACTATTATATTCTAAAATTTAAAATATTATTAAATAAAAATACATTTATTTTATAGTACACTTAAAAACACAATGCTAATATTTACGTTTTCATTTTTTTTTCTTTATTACCTTTTTAATTTTTATATGAATTTTCAACATTTTTCAAATCTAAAATCAGCAAGCTTTTATTTTGGCGGGTTGCCAGGAAGTAAGTATATGTATTGCCCGGTTTTAGTGCTGCCAAGCTGAAACCGGCAGTGCGTAGTTTAGATTTATGTTTTAAGTTCGAATTGACATCTTATACAGTATTACAGTTTGTCGATCTAAAACGGTGATTGTGAATTAAAAGCTGTCAACCATGTTGGTAGGCAAATTAGGGGTCTGAACTTATTTAAACACCTCCACACCACTTATGCACACCCCTGAATATGTATATATTCTATACTGCACATATAATACATTATAACGGTGGCTAGAATTAATTGGGAAACCATAAAATGCACTACTAACAGCTTTATAGGACATTATGTATTCAGCCTTCAAAGAAAATGTCACCAGGACTCCTCTTACTGTTGATATATGTTAATATTCATGCCCTGGAAGTATAGTCTGTTGAACCCTCATGAGTTTAAGCCACAGCTCAGGTCATGAGTCACTGCTATCTGCACACTGCTGCACATTTCAGGTGATAGCTCTGCTATTGTCTGGCATTTACATTTATCCACAACTCAGAACTCACAAATATTGTCATATATGACAGATGTTCCACCTCCAGCGCTTTGTGCTGCTGAAAGGAATCCAGACAGCTCGGTATCAGGACAAGCTTCAGAGCACTGTTTGGATTTAGAATGAAGTTTTTGGCCTGCCTGACAGTTTCTGTTACCGTTCTAGTTATATCTGCGGGCCGCCAGAGCACAGAGACACACAGGTGCTCTTTTAGTCTGCCTGCAGGGTCAATGAATTCTGAAATCAAAAAAAGGTCATTGAGTTTGAGAAGAAAGTTGGCTCTGGCTGTAACTGGTCACCCTTCTGTTCAACAAAGCATGAGTTTAGAGCACAAGCTTGGATCAATAAAACAACTGAACATGACATTTTAAGAATTTAAGCTGATATACTTGAGGCACATGATTAGATTTCACACAAGTCACAAGATATGTCAGATTTAAAGCATTCATATACTAAAGCAAATATTGTAAAGTGTAACCCTGAACTGTTAAAGGGCTTTTCTACTCTTTTAAGGGGGTCTTTAAGCTGGCAGTAAGTTAAAGAGCCAATATGCAACACTAATTATAAATTCCTTATAATGTTAGTCAATGTTTTGTCCACCAAAAACAAATTAAACAGCCTATTTTAGCTACTGTACCTTTTAGACTTATGAAAATGACTTCTGTTGACTGGCTAACGTCTTCACAAGTTAAATGAGTAACAATGCCCCCATCATAATGATGAATACTGAACAGTTGATGATAAATAAATACGGACTGTCACATGTTAATGTGTTGATAGTTCTGACATCAGAACTGATGCACTCTGAACGACCCATTTATGCTGCTAAGTTAGCGCTTAGTCATAAACTTTATGCTTCAACAGTTTTAAAAAGCTTTTTGAACAAAATGTAAGTGGCACTAGCTCATGCAGAACTCAGGCTCTTGCTGTGCAGCTGCTCAAAAACAAAACAAGATTTCCATATTGTCACTTTTAAAAGTCTGTATCCCAACCTGATCTCCTCATTGATGGCATCCAGCTGTTCTTGCAGCATGAGGGCAAGCGTCTGGGCGTCTGAGTGCCCGCTGGGAGACAGCATATCGGCTGAGCTGAATATGGTCTCACGGTCTTCATCGTCCAGGTCAGACAGCTCAGTGTCGCTTCCCATCAGGTGAGTACGGCTGGCTCGCAAGCTGGAGGGCTGAGAGCGATCCCAATCCTGCTCCACCATCGGCAGGATCTGGAAATAAAGACATGGATCAGGGTTACTTTGTGGAGTTTACAAATCAGGCTTCCAGATATTAGTGTTTCAGTAAGATCTGATTGGCTATCAACATTTTTGAAGTGGATTAGAGAACCCGGAACTTACAACGAACACATCCAACGAGGCAAAAGAAAAGAATAGGGAGAAATTAGTTTACAAGGCCAAGGTCTGCCAGTGACTACAGTTATACCAGTACAGTACATGTTACAACAAGTTTTGGTTTATGACAGTGACAGATGGAGATGTACAGTAGGTGTGACATTGACACCTTGGTGGGTTCATCCCTGAGTGCCACCATTCGACCTTTCTGAGCCCGTCGTATGACCCCTGTGGAGGAGTAGTGATCTCCCTGACCTTCCACCACTGAGAAGCGCAGGTCTGTGGCACTGCCAAGATGAGACCTAAGACCGGGTCAACAGAGAGAGGCCTACTTAGCACATCACTTTTAACGAGCAGATAAAAATAGGGCTCATTATATAACAAAATACTATAAACGGTTTAAATCTGGATGTCACCTAGGATGTGTTCCGTCTCCAAACGCACCGCTCCTGCGCTTCAGATGATCGAGTTCAGCCCGTAACTTCTCAATCTCCCCAATAAGCCTCTCCTAAACAACCAAAAAACACTTGATTAGTCAATTCTTTCTTTATTATGAAAACCACTTTTATGAACTCGAATGAATAAAGATCAAAATAAGATCATAATAATAATTTTAAAATAGATTTTTAAAAATAAATGAATACTTTATTCCTCAAAGATGCATTAAATTGATCAAAGTGCCAGTACAGACATCTATAATGCTACAAAAGATTTCTGTTTTGAATAAATGTTGTTCTTTGTAACTTTTTTTTAATCAAAGAATCCTGAAAAATATTAACACAAAAATGCTTCTTTAGCTGCTGAAAAATCATCTTTACCATCACAGGAATAAACTACATTTAAAACTATATATTAAAATACAATTTTTTTTTTAAAGTAGCAATAATATTTCACAATATTACTGTTTTACTGTATTTTTGATCAAATAAATGCAGCTTTTGTCAGCATGAGTATTTTAAATTTAAAAACAAAAAAGATAAAAAAAATTTTTTTTTAAACAATACAAAATCTTACCAACCTTAAATGTTTGATTAGTAGTTTATGTATATATATATTTTAAATAAATATTAGCATTTTTAAAAAATCACATTGCAGGACACTATAAAATGAACATACAAAAGCCAAAGTAAAAATAATAATTAAAAAAAGAAAGAAATGGGAGACAGCAGTGGTCGGAAACAGGCGGCCCGCGAGCCAAAACTGGTCCGCCAGCAATAATATCTGGCCCGCTCCTGCATAATATTTTGATAGTGGCTGGTTCC